CGCAAAATACTGTAAATTACAGCACTTTGTGCGCTGTTTATGTTCAATTTTTAAACGCGCGATGCTTTCACATGTTCTTTGCATTCTTCCACAAGAAACAACGTTGCAGATTGAAACTGGACGACAGCGTGACCCAAAAGAAAGCTGGAGGGAGGAGACGCACAGAAGCTTTTACACACACAGGGGCTTTTGCACAGAGAAGTCTTTACACAAAGGAGCTTTTTACACATAGAGGTTTTACACAGAGGAGTCTTTACTCTAAGGGGCTTTTGCACACAAACGTCTAGGAGCTTTTGCACACATAAGTTTTTACACGAAGAAGTCTTTACACAGAGGTTTTTACACACAGACGCGTTTGCACACAGAAGCTTTTACACAGAGAGGCCTTTACACAGAGGAGCTTTTACACACAAAAGCGTTTACACACAGCAAGCTTTTACACACACAGGGGCTTTTACACAGAGAAGTCTTTACGCAGATAGCTTTAACACACAGACGCATTTACAAACAGAAACTTTTACACAGAGAAGCCTTTACACAGGAAGTTTTTACACCCGGAAAGCTTTTACACACAGTGAAATCTTTACACAGAAGCGCTTTCACGCAGAGAAGCTTTCACACACAGAAGCTCTTACACAAAGAAGTCTTTACACAGAGTGGTTTTTACACACAGAAACTTTTACACATAAAAGCTTTTATATACACAGAAAGTCTTTGCACAGAGGCGCCCTTACACGAAATAACAAGTTGAAATTGGCAGCAGTTCGTTAGGAAAAACTCTTCGCAGGAGCTTTCCGGAATTCACTTGCTCCCCCCCCCAAAAAAAAAAAACGTCTATTTCCAACAAATATGTTCCAAAAAACCTAGGGAATATATTTCTGAAGCAGGTCCTCATGCAATAGCTTTCAAGCCCACACTGCGATGACATATATGACATGGCGGAGCCGACGATGAGCGTCAGCTCAAAAAAAGACCTTCGGTTACCACCGAAGGCCTCCGGCAAGGAGACGGGCTGCGTGGCCGGCGCCCGGATTTAAAGGCTTACGCCTGACAGCCGGGCGCCGGCCAAGCAATCTTGGCACCATGTTGGCCCTATGTTGGGCCTATGTTGGGCCTATGTTGGCCCATGTTGAGCCATCTTGGGAGCTATGTTGGGGCCATGTTTGGGCCATCTATGTTGAAACGATCTCAAGATGCCAATTTTTGCGCCCCGGGCCCCCGCGGAAAAATTGGCATCCTTTCAACATAGATGGCCCAAACATGGCCCCAACATAGCTCCCAAGATGGCCCAAAAAGGTTTGCAGGGAATTGTTTGTGCCCACGTTCAGGAAGCAAAGGCAATCAATGCAAAAGGGGCTACAAATTAAGCCCCTCAAACTCACCAACCCCCCATACCATCCCATACCTGGAAACTCTGTTGGAATCACTAAAACAACAGGAGAAACGACCAACCACGACCGGTCTCAGCACGTCTTTCATCAAACTGCACTACGACCTACGACTCCCACCCTCGATCCAAATCCCTCGGAGGAGATGTCGTCATCAAGTTGCTAGGGTTCTGATCAAGTAGGATGAGTATTTTCAACACTCCCCAGAAACAATTCGATAAGAAACCACACCAGTCATTGCCGGGGATACAAATCGTTTTGAACCCAGAAGGCATCTTTGGTCGACGAGATTGAATGATGTTGTTTTCCCCTTAAGGCGCATTTGGTCTGCGTGGCGTGGTGCAGGAGGGTGTCTTCATCAGCCAGGGTTTTCATGCCTTGATTGAGAACGCTGATGATGAGTGATTGAACTGCAACGTACTTATATAGTCAGGCGATCAGCCAGGTTGCGCGGACCTGGAAGCCACCTCAATTGAGCATTTCGACCCTGTGCCCCTTCTCGCAGCTGTGCCTCAAAAGTGGCTCGGAGGGCAGCTAAGTCTAATCAGTCTAATCCCAAAATCCGATCACGAGGAAGTCCTCGCTCTGCAGAGATGTGGTCACATACGGATCGACAATCGGTTGCAGCAATCAACGGAAGACCAAGAGCGTCACGCTCCCAGTGCTTGAAGTCATAGTTTGGGCCAAGAAGCTCGCACAAACACCTTCCAGAAACTCAGCATGCTCAACTGCTTTATACAAGGCCATGCTCTTGGTGGACATTGAAGACCGCACTACTCTTTTTAGCCTATGGAACAGCCAATACATGCAAGCTACTGGAACTCTCTTAGTGGTCACTTCTTCGGTGGTAATCAACAAAAACATCCCCCCCTGAGATCCTTGCCTAGGCATCTTTCCGGGGGAAGCATCACTCACAGCCACAACCACAGGCTTCTGAAGATTAATCCCGGGGATCAAGAAAGAATACGTGCATTTTTGCGATCGTTTTACCAGGGTGTTGGCTTGTTTGACTGTGGCATACGTTGCTTGGGTCAGGCTCTGTTGTAAGTAGCCAAACCCCAAAGCTAAGATCGGGACGTGTGGATTTGGCCAACCAGCAGGTAGCACCCGCTGTTCTTCTGAGATCCTCATGAGTGTCCTTGCTCACCTCCTTCCCTCTTCCACCAATTGTTGCTTGCTAATGGGAACTTTTAGGATTTTCTCAGCTTCAAAAGCAGAACAACCATAACAAGATCACCCACATGAACCGTAACAGCTCCCATCAACTTTGTTTTGTTACCATGAGAACCACGGGCCCAGTGCAAAAAGACACATTGCATCATCCGCATTTCCTCAAATCCCAGCTGAACCAACACCTGTCGGAGACGTCGACACCACAACCGAGGGGCACATTACACAAACCGTACACCCCTTTTTGAATTTCCAGTAAATCCCCAGCACGGACTCCTTTCAACCCTTCTTTTTGGCGGTCTAAGATACAAAGATCTGTCATCGAACACGCCCGACAAAAAGGCTCTAGAGATATCCCCACCTTGCAGAACCCACTTGTAGCTGGCTGCTAGCAAGAAGACCAGATTGACTCCCATCGTGTCTGGTTGGCGCATCGGTTCTAAGCAGGCTGATGTCTGGGCCAAGGTGGCCTCCACATACGAGGCGAGCTTTGCTGATCAAGGTCTTTCCAGTATCACCCTTGTTTGTAAGGATGAACCTGGTAGGCAGGATACGTTCTTTCGGAATCTGCTTTGCTTCAGCGGCAGGAACCACAGTCACGGCTTTCAAATCTAAAAAGCTCTGCCACTCTTTGTCCATGGCTTGGCGGAACTTTACCTTAGAAGGGGTGTCAAGCTGGTGAAATCTATACTCTCGTGAGATCTTTGTGTGATCTCTTTGAAGTGGATCATCCACTCCCGCAACAAGAGCAATGCGTTTGTGAACACACATGCATGACTGACATGTTTCTTCCATGAGCTGAACCGGGACATGATGATGTGGGGCATGTTGACCCTCTAATTGTTCAAGGTCCTGAAGTACTTTCATGTCCGAAAAGAAAACATCAACCACTTCGGGGGTCGATGTTTCATCATGAACACTTCAAACTTACTTTGTTTTCTCCCCAGTTTGGATGATCCCCGCTTGTCATATTTAGAAGAATACTGATTGTTTTGAACTTTGACTGAAGCCCTCTGTTTCTGTCGCTCCTGAACATTTTCTTTCCATGACTGAACAGGCCCATGCGGACTCGTGGCGTCATCCAATTCTTCAAGGGTACCCTTCATCCATTCTTTTCCCGACCCGGTGGTTGGACCGCATTGTCCTCCACCCCCTTCCTCAATATCGGACATATCCCGAGGCTCAAAATGAATTGGAGGCTCCGGCCTGAGACATGCCATGATCCAGCACTGGTGGTTTTGAGATCTCAACACTAGGGTCTGGGCAGTCTAAGGCTGGCACTGGATTCGATTCTGATTGTTCGGGCACGACCGAAACAGTTCCATCCACGTGCCCTGCATCCATTTCTGCATCTGTGTGTGATGGTTCCACATGAGGTTCTTTAGGTGGCGGCGGTGGTTGCTCATCATAAAACCCTGGTGGTGGAGGCCGCTTCCTCCAACATCGGATTCTGCCAACTCCCGGCACATCTCCCACAGAAACTTGTTGGCCTGGAGCCAATGGTTGACGGGAAACAAGCGAGGCAGGAGGTCTTGACGATCTCTCCCTCAGCGCAGGTCTCCATGGGTCATTGTTCATCAATGGGTCCGTGGCCGTGGAAGCTGGTTGGTGCCAACGGTCTCGATGATCACCATGCCACTGAGGCTCTCCACGATCTTCTCTGTCTTCACGCCGCTTTCCCCTCCTTTGCCGGTTCTGTGGCCTACGACGACGTCTAGATACGTGCGGCTGCTGGAGGTTCCAGGGTAGGTTCACCTTGTGGGACTTGTTCCCATGAACTTGGCATTGATCCCGTTGGATCGGCCCGACCTGCTGGTAGTGGAGATGTGCTCACTGGGACGTCACGGGCGGTGTCGCCACTACCAGCCTGCGCCATTAGGCAAACTTGAACTGAGCGGTTGACGGGGCTGAGACCAGTTAACCCAAAAAGGATACCCCTCGCCCTTCTCAACCTCCCTCAAGAGAGAGTGAGCCAGGGCCCCGCTACCAATGTTGGAATCACTAAAACAACAGGGGAAACGACCAACCACGACCGGTCTCAGCACGTCTTTCATCAAACTGCACTACGACCTACGACTCCCACCCTCGATCCAAATCCCTTGGAGGAGATGTCGTCACCAAGTTGCTAGGGTTCTGATCAAGTAGGATGAGTATTTTCAACAAACTCTGACATTGCGAACCTTGAGATACACTGCCAACTGCGAGCCGGAAATAGACTTCGAGTTTGTCCTATCCATTCCTCTTGGGTTGGAAGGCAGATAGGCATAAAACCATGGTCTCACAGCATTCATAAGTATGTAATCTACCGCCTTCTGTTTGAGAAATTCACAGTTGCCATCGCCTGAAATGAGTAGCTAGAGTGGGTTTGCAGAGAAATGGTGCCATTATATTTTATTCAATTAAATATGTCACCCGTCACCCATGAATTCTATTGCGGGCAGCAGTGTTCTGCCGCAAGGCGAAAATGTCCGCGGACCGCGCAGGACCATGCAGCTGGAGGCATCGTTCAGTGAATTCATCTACGCTGATGGTGTGATCGCCATCCACATCCAAGCTTAGGAACAAGGTCCAGGCATCCATAGCTCCGATTTCCAAAGATTCAAAGAAGGCAATTACGGCATCATCACTAAAATGAGACTCGAAGTCAGTGATCGTAATTTGCCCAGATCCATGATGGTCAATTCTGTGGAATAGGTTTGCGACTTGTTCGCGCAGCTCTTGCCGTGTCTGCATGAGTGAAAGCACCAGCATGTCATGATCACGTTCAGCTGCTTTAATTGCTGCATTGCAAAATGTTCCTGCAGGCGGTTTGCATGTGTAGCTATGAAACCTCGCAGCTCTGTAATTCTTTAAAAGTTTGGGTTTCTGTGATAATTTATGTTTGGGATCAACTCAATTTTTCGGACAGCCATCTCACCCAATGGTTGAAGTCGAGTGCGCAGAGTCACGCTAGCTGTCCCATCCTGTCATCACGTTCAAAACGGCAAAGCTGCCTGCAGTCACAGGCTCAAATAAAACAAATTTCTGCCGGAATAGTTTGATAAGTATTTGCAATCTGTGGGCAAAATGCCAGCCCTTGTCAACGTGAAATCGCAAGCGCGGACGGAATGCAATCAAAAGAAATACTTGTCAAGAATTGGACTAAAACCGCAAGATATTTATACCTATACACACCTACATAAACTGCATTGCATTTGATTCGTTTTGATTTGAGTTGGATTGCACATTTACACACATGTACACACATATACATACATCTGCATTCATATACATACATTTACATTCATATGCATACATATACATGCATATACATTCATGTGCAATCATATATATAGATATACATATATTTTGAAAACAGATACATATATATATACAAAATACAGATACATGCGTTTGCACACACACACACATGCACAAACATATACGCCAACGCATATGTATAATAATATATATCTATACACGTATATATACATGTGTGTGTGTCTGTGTATGTATGTCTGTCTGTCCGTCCGTCTGTCCGTCCGTCTGTTCGTCTGTGTGTCTGTATGCATGCATGCAAGTATGTTTGTTTATGACTGTGTGCAACTGTGTGAGTAATTACATTGAATACAGGTCTCCCAAAGTATCTTAGAAATCTGAAAGTATTACAATATCTTGCAATATCTTCCAAAATCTTACAATATATTTCCCCCGAATTCTTTAACCGACAGCACGAACCACCACTTACTGCTGGTATGGTGCAGAATGCCACATAGAAATGGAAGAGTGACGACCAGAATATCCCGTTGTCCATGTTCTCAAGTGCATCAGCTGCTTCCCCCCATGTCAGGCCATTCGAAATAGAACGGAAAAGCGTAACGATTGATGGGTAGAGGCCACCAAAGAATTTTGACAAATTGCTTGTTTCGTCTGCAAAATTCAATTCATTCCTGTGGTCCAGCACGGCATCCGTGAATAGGATGCCAAACCTGAGACTGTTCATTCAACCCGTTTAAAGTTTTGGCGTCTACTATTTTCCCGTGCTGACATTGCCCGAGCAAAGCATACCAAAGTTCGTTGGTAGGGCCAAAGATTGCTCAAAATATACGCCCAGAAGCATGTACATGATCAGTGCGAGCAACAACAGCGACCAAAACAGGGATTTCAATGTCCCGACGAGGGAATTGATTAAGGTTCGAAGGGAGCGGAATAAGCGGGCAACGCGAACGATTCGCACGACTCGAACAATCCGACCAAAGCGAAGCAAGCGAAGAACGCGGAAGTTCCTGTTTGTGCCCATGGTGGAGCCTGGCGTCAAGAAAAAGATGATCAGCTCTATCCATGAAGCGAAAACGACAAAAACATCCAACCAATTCCAAACATACTCGTCCGATAGCCACAAGTAGGAACTTGGTCCGCAAGCTAAAAGTCGCAATGCAACTTCCAAGGAAAATAGTACCGCATAGCTGACGTTGAAGGCTGCAAATACGGTCAGCTGGATGCTTACATCTTGGTACGCGGCTTGCATCTCTAATTGCACTCCCAAGAACACAGAGTTCGAGAGAATCAACAATGCAAAAAAAGTATTCGCCCAGCTAGACTCCACCAGCCACTTGCAGAATCTGCGAAAATGGCGCCAGCTGTGCCAAAAAGGCTTCACCTCTGAGAATCCTCGAGACAGTTCAACCTCAGACCGAGCCTCCATTGCCTGTACGTGAGTCAACCTGGCCTCGTCATAGCTTTTCCGGTTCTTCTTTGGTGCAATTTCTGCATCCTCACCAGAGACGACAGGGGCTTCCCCACAATTCAAGGCACCGAAGGTGCCTCCAGTTGGCTTTTTGGCCAAAGTCCCAAGAGATCCTAGAGCAAGAGGTGCATTGGCGTAAGCACTTGTCACACGGTCAGCCCAAGAGTCGAGGTGTTGTAGAAGTTCTTGCTGGTGCTTGTTAAGGAGTTTTTCGATGCTCTCAACCACCTCTGGCACGGACTCTGCCTTTTCCATGGCTGCCTAGAAGTTTTGAAGGGCCACGGCTACGGCAGACATTCCATGTTGTGTGTACTGTAGACATTACCCTCTTTGCAAAGAATACACCCTTTGCAAGCAAGACACATGCAAGAGATGGTAAGGCTACAGAGTTTCTGCGAAGACAGTCGGTGATCAAACATTTTTTTTGCCCTGTTTGATTCTGCGTGGTGCTCTAACCCTTGGCACGATGCGACCTCTGGGAATGGTGAAAGCAAGCTGCATGGAGAAATGGGCTCTGCTTCGCAGACGGCAGCGAAAATTATAATGGGAAGGACGCAATTGGCTCTCACTGTCTCTCACGGTCTCTTACATCCCTCCTTGGGCCTAAAGTTGGTGAAACTCACGACCACGGGCAACGCACCGTGACGCAAGCTCAGCTCCAAAGTCATCGAAGGTGCCTTCGGCACGGAGAGTTTGGGCATTGAGCTTTGAAATTCACTGGAACTGAAAGGCAACAACCTCATAGGCTGAAACCTACATCCATTTGCTTCTTTAGTTTCCGAAGTTCGACTTCCAAGTGTCGAAGTTGAGCCCCCATCTTCACCTCAAAGCACATCTTGAAACTATTTAAATTTTGTGATTTTCCGAATTGCACGCGTTCTGAAGGGGAAATATGAGCAGGGCACAAGGTCGAAATGATATCCGCCGACCCCGGCAGACGCAAGGGGGAGTGCGTAAGGGAAAAAGAGTTTATGACACAGCTGCCAGGAAAGAAATAATAATAATTCGCTGACCCCGGCCGATGCAAGGGGGAGCATACAGCTGCCAGGAAAGAATAATAATAATTCGCTGACCCCGGCCGATGCAAGGGGGAGCGCGTAAGGGAAGAAGAGGTACTGCACTGCTACTTTTACTACCAGGCAGCAGCAGGCAGCAGCAAGCAGGCAGCAGGTAGCAGCCAGCAGCAGCCAGCAGCAGCCCGCACCAGCCAGCAGCAGCCAGCAGTAGGTGTCTGGCAGGCAGCATCCGGCAGCAGCAACCAGCAGCAGCCGGCGTTAGGCAGCCAGCAGCAGCCAGCAGCAGCCAGCAACAGCCAGCAGCAGGCAGGAGCAGGCAGCAGCCAGCAGCAGGCAGGAGCAGCAGGCAGCAGCAGGCAGCAGGATTCTATTTTAATTTTATTTTATGGCAGCAACAGCAAGAGCAACAGCAACAGCAACAACAACAACAACAACAACATTCTTGCAGCCATGGAAACAATAACACAAAGCTGCAGCAGCAGCAGCAGCAGCAGTTGTTTCTTGCTTTGGAAGCTGTTTGATTGCAGCAGCACGACAGCAGCACCACAGCAGCAGCAGCCACCAGC